CCCCCTTGTTGGTCTTGGTTATTTCCACTCACTGTCATTCTGAAATCCATTCAACGAGTATATGTTGAGCACTTGCTGTATGCCAGGCTCTGTTGGAGGGGCTTGGGATATGTCGATGAGCAAAACACAGATCTTGGTCCACATGGTGCCTATGTTTTTATGGGGGTGAGGGGTGTGAAGCTCTGCGGGCTCCCTGAGGTGGGATGGTGTCCTTTGCTCACCAGCATGTCCTCGTGGATGAGCCTGGAACCCGATGTACAATAGTGCTTAGTAACTGTTGAAATGACCTGCTGCTTAAGAGCTTCAGAGTGCTCGTTGGTATGAAGGGACCTGGGAAATGCCACACAATTTCTAGGCTCTGAGACATCTATGGTGTTGACTCATTTTGTAACTGATCTTTTCTAAGTATAATTTCTAAACCACTGGGAAGGAGAAAAAAATGCCTTGTCCTCGCTATCCAGAGTTTGACAAACATTTTATTCACCTCTGACATTTGAGTTAGCATGGCAGTGAGGGTTGATACTGAATTTAAGTGCGTCGGTGGCCTAGGCCACACTCCGAGGTCAGAAAATAATCTGGGAGGACAAGTTAAGAAGAGTTGTCTCTTCCCAGCCTAGTCCCAAGAAATGAAAGGAGAAATGACAACCAAAAAAGTGGATTGAGCCGAGTAGCCACCCATCACGAGGCGAAATGGTTCTCTAAGTCTCCGAGTTTCTCCCAGTCCCAGTTTTCCATTTTGATTCTGATTTTGAAGCTCTGGCCTCCCTCCTGATACAGCTTCCCATTGGTTTGGTGGTACAGAGTCACAGGTGACAGTGTTAAAGAGCTCTGAATGTGGTTCAGAGTCACAGAACAGGCCCCACCCTGTTCTTGACCGGCCTTCAGAAATCCTGCTTACAGGGCCTCCACGTCAGGAGGGAGGCCCAGTGCTACCAAGTCGGCCTCCCTCTGTGTCCTCAGGAAGTCATGCTTTTGCCCTGACCTAAAGGCCAGCAGATGAGACCTGGAAGGAGGAAGGAAGATGATGAAACCTGATGAAAAAGGAGGAGGGAAGAAAAAGTGCAGATAGGTCACCAGGAGTCAAATGTGTCCCTGTGAAAAGTGGGTGGGCTTTCCTGTCAAGACAGAGCAGTAGATGGCCTGAGTGGGAACACGAGCAAAGCGGTGGGATTGGCCTGAGCTCCCGCTGCAGGGTAGGGACAGAAAGGGGTGCTGGTAAGGGAAAACAGGGCTGTGCCTGCTCATCAGACTGGACAGGCAGCTGGTGCTCAAGGGCCCTTCTTTTCTCCCTGGTAATAGCTGAGCCATTGGGAACCATTCCACATGGAAGGACACGCACCCGGCTCGGGAATCTTACCCAAGCAAGATGCAGGAGGTGAGCCCCATGTTCTGACAGCCTGCCAAAGTGCCCGCTGTTCATAGGCTGGCAGGAACATTCGTTTTTGAGAATAGTTTGCCATAATGAATTCTGACATCATTGCGCTCTCTCAGTCAGGAATGTTGAAATGGAATAAATGACCTAATGTGAAGGGTTTGTGGAAACCCTCAAAACCGAGGAGAGTCCCTGGCTCCCTTGTCTTCATTTTGAAGTGGAGTTTTTAAGCAACAGTTCATTCTGGATATTTAACGACCTCAACGTTTTAGGAATGAACTAATAGTTTAGAGACATGAAAGCAATCATGTGGCTTTTATTTCCCTCAAATTGGAGTCTTTCATAGCACTTAGAATATAATCCTTATACGTTAATTTCCCGATTTTGTTACTTTCTATCATGATTATCTGTCCAGCTTTTTTTTTTTTTTTTTAAGGTTTGATTTATTCATTTAACAGAGAGGGAGAGTACAAGCAGAGAAAGCAGCAGGCAAGAGTGGGAGGGAGAAGCAGGCTCTCTGCTGAGCCGGGAGCTGGATGTGGGACTCGATCCCAGGACCCTGGGATCACGACCTGAGCTGAAGGCAGCTGCTTAACGAACTGAGCCACCCTGGCATCCCTATCTGTCCAGCTTTAAATTTTTTTTTTTTTCTGTTCTCATGGCAATAGTAGAAATGATTGACTGAATAAAATTAGGTGATTAAAAAAATGTATGAATGGTATAAGAGTTGCTGAAAATGAGATGTTTTTGCATTTGGGAAACTTCCTTCCTTTTCTTTCTAATATTTAAAATCTTCCCCCTCCAGCGGCTTTTTGCTGCTGTCAGACTGATCTGTGGTGGTTCCTGAGGGCTCCCTGTTGTTTGCTTGGCAAGGTGTCAGCCCCTGGGGGTTACTGTTTACAAGCAGGACCTCCCAGAGCTTGAGGAAGAATTTGATTCTGAATCCTAGGCTCTCTACAGAATAATCTGGAAACAGTTGCGAAAAACAATATTTGCTTCAAGGCCACTGCCCGGCCTTGGGAATAAGCCCCCAGTGGCTGACCACCTCCTCCCGCGCGGCGCCCCCGTGAGTCCGGGCACTTCCTCCAGTCGTCCAGCAGGGGGCCTCGGTCCCGCGCGGGAGAGCCACCCGGCCCTCAGAGGGGAGTTGATTTCTCCAGCCCTCCTTTCTCTTCTAAGGCCGCTGAGGCAGGACCCTCGACACCGGACTGCTTCACCTGGGCCAGTGGGTTTTCTTTCCAATTTTGAGCCACTTCCTGGGAGCATCTCATTAGCCGTGATCACTGGAACGCATAAAATGTGTATTAGGTATATATGAGGTAATTTGCATATAAATGATTAAGTCAGAGACCTGAGCTCTTGTAATCAAATTTTGTTCCTTCTTCTAGAGCTGGCACTTCAGTTTTAGAGCCAGTTTCTCTTGCCCAGGAAGGCGACAGAATCTAGTAGAAAGCTTCCAGCTCACTCTCTAACTGGGTTGGTGAACTGAGCAAGGCATTCCACTTCTGTGTCATAAGAAGCTAGCTTGCATTGGCTCTCATGGATAGCTAGAAAATTCTGGGCTTTCGTAACTGGATCAGTATCTCATTCTGCCAGGAGGGCGTGAGAGACAGTGCTAATGACCAGCTCCTATCTTGTAGCCGACCCCGGCTTATCCTATTTAGATTCGATGCTGCCTTTTCAGAGCTGATCGCCACCTGGTGAAACAGTCCTGTGAACCCGGGTCTCCAGTTACATTCCCTCAGTCCCTCCCACCCCTGTGTCATACAGTCAAGACTGCTGTTCTGTGTACACAGGGTAGGAGCTTAGTCCGCAGTTCTGGAACGAAATTAGACCACTGTGTCCACGCCCCCCCCCCCATCCCCCGGATGAGTTAGAGCTGTTTCCTTACCCCCATCACTTAGGAGAGCTGAGCTTCCATCCAGAGCAAACGTACTTTGTTGCCCATGAGCATGGATCCCATAAAAACAAAGGAAAGGGAAAGCAGAGTGGCTCGCATGTCCTGGGGCCCATGACCTAATTTGCATTCACGGCTCTGTTAGAGTCCCTGTAGCACCGCTTGGAGTCCCGAGCACCAGCGTCTTTTTATGCCACTGTGAAGCTTCTGATCTGATACCATCTGAAATGTGTGGGTGAGAGGAACACAGGAGAACTGATGGGCTCTCGCCAGTAAACTGTTACCTTAAAGTTCCGGGGCTGTTCTTGTGAACGAGAGTCCTGGGATGCCGTGTAGGGAGAAGATACAAATTAATAGCCCTTGTGGGTGCTTGTAGCATACAGAACCCACATTCAGTTTGATTAAATACCTTTGCGTGATTGAAAATGTCATCCAAGAAGAGAGCCAAATGCCTAGAGCGCCTGCCACAGCCCGCAGAGGCTGGCTGACAGGTCCGCACCGGCTGACCCGCTCTGCGGCTTTTTGGAAAGATGAGATGTGTTCTAATGAGCAAGTTATAAATATCACCGAGTTATGTCATAGGTGGTGGCAGCGCTCAATGTAAAGGGACTGGCTGGGAAGTGTTCCCAGCTGAATGGGCCGGGCACAGCTTTGCAGGGAGGACTGCAAGTGGGGCTGGATACAGTGACCAGGGTGTCACTAAATAATTACCTGTCCTTGACGGAGACATGTCACCAAACGTGTCTCGGTGAAGTGTGGGGCAGTGAGAGGAGACGTGTTCCCATTGGAGTCGGGCCGCTCAGGGCTCCGGTCCTCATGCGTTTGCTCGCAGAAGGGGCCTTGACCATTGCTGCTTCTTGTCCCCGCAGAGTGGGGAGGGGCAGCGTTGGCTTGGTGGCTTTTTTGGGGCAGTAATTTAGGTTCTCAGAGATGCAGAGTGATTGCATGGTGGAGCCCCTCAGTTTTCATGCCTGTTATCTTTGTCCTGACCATAAAAATGGCAAGTTACAGGAAGGCTTTAGCACACCGCATTCTGTGCCTTGTGGATATTCCCGCACTCTCTCGCCGCCCACCTTTTAAGTGAAAACAGATTTCAGACCCACTCAGTAGAGCAGGAAAACTATGGAGCCATTGGGAGGTTGAGGGTAGACTCTGCTAGATGCCTTACATCTATCTATCTCTCTTCCTTTCCCCCTCCCTTCCCTTCCCCTCCCTTGCCTTCCCCTTCCTTGCCTTCCCCTCTCCCCTTCCCTTCTCTTTCCCCTTTCCTTCTCTTCCTTTACCTTCTCTTTCCTTCCCTTCCCTCCTCTCCCCTTCCCCTACCCTTTCCCTTACCCCTTCCCTTCTCCCTTCCTTCCTTCCTTCCTTCCTTCCTCCCTCGCTCCCTTCCTTCCTCCCTTCCTCCCTTCCTTTTTTCCTTTTTCCTCCCTTCTTTCTTTTTCTTTCTTTCTCTTTCTCTCCTTTCTTCCTTCCTTCCTTGGCTTCAGAACTGATGTTCAGATTTTTTTTTTTCCTTGAGAAAATTTGATTGTGGGAGCACCAAAAGACCGGCAATCCCAGGCCAAATTTTTCAGAGTCAAGCAAAGATGGACAGACATGTGCAGAATAATTGTTTGCTTAAAATCTAGCCAACAGCTTTTATGTAGACAAAATGCACTGAAATATATGTATAAAATATTTAATATTAATGCATGCCAGATGGAAACCCTGTCAAACTCTGTGTGCACACAGGAACTTGACAAGAGGAGTCGGGAGATTCAGAGAGATCCTCAGAGCAGTAGAAACAAGAACAACACAAAACCTGCGAATGGTGAGTGTGATGGGTAATTTGACTGAGGCCGGAAGGGCACTTTAGGCGTCCTCTCTCCTCCCCTCCCTCTCCCTCCCTCCTTCCTCTCCCCCTTCACATACATGTATGTATGTGTGTATGTGTATATATACATATATGTGTGTGTGTATATATATATATATATATATATATATATATATATATATATATATATATACTTTGTTGAGATACAATTTCCATACCACACAGTTCACAGTTCACCCTTTTAAAGTCTGTGGTTTTTAGTGTACTAACCACATTGTTCAGTCATCACTAATATTTAATTTCAGAACATTCTCATCCCCAAAAAGAAACCCCATACCTCTTAGTAGTCACTCCCCATTCTCCCCTTTACCCTCAGCCTCTGGCAACTGCTCATCTATGTTTTGCTTTTATGGATTTGCCTATTTTGGACATTTCATATACATGGAATTATATACTAGGTGGTCTTGTTGTGACCGACCTGCTTTACCTAGCGTGGTATTTTCAAGGTTCACCCGCATTGGAGCATGGATCGGCATGTCACTCCTTTTTTGTGACCAGATACTATCCCACTGCAGGGACAGGACACATTTTTTGCATTTGTTCCTCAGTTGATGGACACGTGGATTGTTCCCACTTGTTGGCTATTGTAAATAATGCTGCTATGGACATTCTTACGTAAGTTTTTAAGTGGACACATGAACAAGTTTTAGGTGGATAGGCTGTACGTTCAACATTTGGAGGAAGTGCCAGACAATTCTCCAAAGCAGCTGTACCAGTGTGTATCCCCACCAGCAGTTAGGAGGGCTCCGGTTTCTCCATATTCTTTTTTTTTTTTAAAGATTATTTATTTATTTATTTGACAGAGATCACAAGTAGGCAGATAGGCAGGCAGAGAGAGAGAGGGAAGCAGGCTCCCTGCTGAGCAGAGATCTCAATGTGGGGCTCGATCCCAGGATCCTGGGACCATGAGCTGAGCTGAAGGCAGACGCTTTAACCCACTGAGCCACCCAGGCGCTCCTGATTTCTCCGTATTCTTGACAACACTTGTTATTGTCTGTCTTTTCGGTCTTGCCCTCCTAGTATATATGAAGTGCTGTCTCATTGTGGTTTTAATTAGATTTCCCTAATGACTACTGACATTGAGCATCTTTTTATGTACTGATTGGTCGTACTACCTCTTGAAACAAAAGAACTGCATCCCTCACGGCAGGGAGAGTATAAGCCCTTCCAGTTGCCAGGGTGGTGAAGGGGTTGACTGTACGCTAGTGATTTCACACCAAAACCCAGCCAGAGCAGAGCAGATTGGATCCTGGGGAGTACCTAGTTGTTTGACTAAGTATAGTGATGCTAAAACTTAGAGGAGAAACAAAAGCTAGCTAGAGAACGTGGCTCATCAGCAGTTTGGCTGTGTTGTTGGCATAAGTTCTCTCTTGCCTTTTGAAACCCTTGAACTTTCCTGGCTGGAGAAGTGATCGCTGATCCCTCTATGGCTGTTCTGCCAAGGGCTGTCTGGGTGAAGGCCTGGTGCTCACTAGAGATGAAGCAAATACCACATGTCACAACTGACACAACAGCCCCACGGAAGAGTCCACCTTCTTGGGTCTTGTCCCCAGCGCCATCGTCCTCCCATTGTTATGACCCCTTTCAATGTTGCCAGAGAGTTTAAAGCTGGGCCAGGCTCAGTGACTCTTGTTGTGGGAAGTGAGGCTGTATCTTCATTTTGGTGTCTTCAGGGTTTGGGGATGCAGATATCCGACTCGCAGGGCCAGATGACGAATCAATAGGCTTTCCTGGAACTCATGGGGGCGAGACAAAGGAGCAACTTTACACTCCCCCACCCTTCCCCTGAGACCTCACTTGGTCTTCGGTATTTATTTATATACTGATATGATTTGGGTGTGCCCTAAGAAGTTCAAACCAGACATTTTGATTTGTGGAGTTCTTTAAGGCAAAAAACCTCTGAAAAAATATGGGTAAGAATTGTTGCCAAGTGTCTTTTCTCTCAAATTGACCTACTCCCCAATATTTCATGATACTTCTTGTCTGGTCAGCATGAACAGCTCCTTTTAAGACTTTGAAGCACAATTAAAGTAATCGATGATATTGGCTAGTGTTCTTATCATTGTTTTAAAAGCTAATTAAAAAGCCAATCTTTCAAAATTGCTTAAATGTGGAGCATTTGTCCATATTGTTGATTCAAAAGCATATATATTTTATTAAAGTGATTAATGGTTTTTGCCCTGTTAGAAGGTGTGAGTGCATTGATTACTCTGTGGGCCATCTGCCTGCTGCTTACGTCAACACTACTCTTCACAGAATTAGAGAATATCTTCCATTATTGCCTAAGGTTTCTGTTATTTGGATCAATGTACTTTAACTTCTAAAAATCCTGTGAGGGGAGATTCTGAATAAAGACATGTCAGGAAGTGAGATAAGTTTCTTCAATTATTATTTTCTTTTTTCTGAGACATGCTGTGAGGAGGCTTCTGAAGAAGGCTGGGTAGACTGGAGTTCCCCCTGCACATTTTCAGCTGTTAACTGGTTGGTGTTGACATGAGGGGAGTCACTTCCTCTCTCTGTTGGACTTGCGGTGCAAGTAAGTAGGCCTTTGGTCTTGGTTGATGAGTCTCAGGTGACCTAGGTTGAACTGCTTACAATTCCTTGTGTGCTCAGCAAAAGGTGTGCATCAGAATTATCTGAGGAACTTTGAACAAATGCACATCCCTTTTGCTGACCTCAGAAATGCCAGCTGAGTAGGTTTGGGGCAGAACCCAAGAATCTTCTCTTCTCGTTTCCATGGGGAATTGTTTGCCTTCCCTAGCTGGGAAGTACTTCATGGGCCTTATTCACTGGTATCTTGGTCTACAGTAGCCATCAGAAAGCTTGTCAAGTTAATGCTGCTCACAACTCTATGATTCCTTCGAGATTAGTTGATCGTTGCAAATTTATGATGCTCTTATGAAGTGAAAAATTTACCTTGTAAACTCTGTCAGGGTGTGAGACCATAGCTGAGAAGGATTTATTTACAAGTCCATTTATAGCAACCCCACTCTTAGACAAATACTTCAACGAACTGAAATGTTAGAAACAAACATTGTACATGAATGTCTGTAGCGTCACTGTTTATGCTAGCCAGAAGATGGAAACATTCCGAATTTCTATCAGTTGATGACGAGATAAACAAAATGTGGTACGTCCACACAATAGAGTATTATTCAGCCACAAAAAGGAATGACGCACTGACCCAGGCTACTACATGGGTCAACCTTGACCTCGTGATGCTAAGTGAAAAAGCCAGTCACAAAAAGGCCCCGTATTATAGGATTCCGTTGATAGGAAATGTCCCCAATGGGCAAATCTGCAGAAACAGAAAGCAGGTTAGTTGTTCCCGGGGTCTGGAAGGAGGGAGTGGAAAATGACCACTGAAGAGTACAGGGCTTCCTCTTGGGGTGATGTTCTGGAACCAGGGAGAGGTGATAGTTGCCTAGTACTGAGAATGTACTAAGTGCCATTGGGTTATACATTAAAATGGTTAAAATGGTGAATTTTCGGTTAGGTGAATTTTACCACAATTAAGAAAATACATACAAAACGGATTTAATGACCAAGTTTATACATTAAAGTTTGACTTCTTTCTGGCTCCCTTCCTTCCCTTCCTTTCCTTCTGATTTTATCTGTTGCCAACAATTTGTAAGCATTTCAATGGCAAGCATATAAAACCCGAGTATAAGAAGTAAAAGGTCCGATCACTATTGGTGATCGTGCTGGTCATTTCTCATATTTATCTCCTGTTCTGAACTTCATGTGAGCTGTCCGTGCACACAACCAGACAGCCTTGCTAGTCGGTTAGTGCAGTGGTAGAGTGACACATTTAAAGTATGCAATCACATCAAAACCTCATTTTAAAAGTCTCTCTGGAAGGTTAATACCTGGAAGTAAAGTGAGATCTAGCACGAGCTGTTGCATAGTGGACAAGCAGACTGTGGAGGGCAGAGATTTTTGTAACTTTAGAATCCCTCCATGGCAGGTATATTCAGAAAATGAAGCTCCTTGTTCATTTTTTTCCCTTTGACTTTTTTTTTTCTCGGCTATAGTGAGTCGAGGTTATTTTTGCCCGTTGATGCTTCCAGCAGAAGTCATTAGCTTATATGACTGCAGGGAGATCGAAATGAAACTATAATGGAAGGTTTAAGAAAACAGTGCAGGAACTGTTTAGGTTCTGAAAATTGTATTCTTATGAGATCTTTACAGATGGCTCAGTTGGGGATGATAGGAGTGCACTTAATTTCACATTTTTATAGACACTAAAGCCAGTGGGTCTTACTTGGGAATAATCAGGAAAATTTGCCTTTACCCAGTGGTTATCAGAAGCCACTAATCTAGTGATTTGGTTGCATTTAAGTTTCCTGGTGGTGTTTTAGGCAATTCACGTGGATGAAAACCTAGCAAAGTTCTCTTCTGGAACATATTTATTTAAAAAGTCTCACTCTCAGGAAAGATCAGCATTCTTTGCCTGCATGTTTCCAAAGAACATGAAAACCTTGTAGAAAAACCTGATAGTTGAAGTTTTATTTTGCCACCTTTGGCTGATCGTGGGGTAGCACGGGCCACATTGAGGTGCACCTGCTTCTGTTCTGAGGGAGATTTTGTGGAGGTTTTGTTTATCTGTTTGTTTTTATTTCTCTTCTTTATCACTGGAAGATTATGAGGTAAGTGAACTGATACGCATTAGCTAACAAAATATTTCTTAGTAGATGTCACATACCCCCTCCTCCCATTCATCAGACGGGGCACTGTTCTACTGCAGAGAGCTCGAAAAGCATAGTAGTCGTTGTCTAACTTAGGATGACAAGATCCAGATATGTCTGGGTTTTCTCAGAGAGGAAAGAGATACCTGTGCAGCATTGCAAAGAGGTCTTTCTTGATCAGTAGCCATACTTGCCACTTTGCTTTCTCTTTTGCACAGGCCAGCAGTAGCCTTTGGGCTGGAAGGCCCAGGGTGCACTGACAACAGTGCACTGAGTCCCAGGACGGGGCCACCATGGGACTGGCCCTTGGCACTTCAAAGAGGGAAGGCATTTCCGAAATCTACACTGGATACCATCTTATCAGCAATGAAGAGCTTTCCCCACCCCCCCCCTTCAGGAGTAACGTCATCTAGGTTGAGCACCGGCTTTGTGCCAAGTTTGGGTTGTAGCAGGGATCTGTTGGGAGGTGATGAGATATTTTACAATTAACCTATGATAAGAGCTTTTGGAAAAGAGCAAAACTAAAAATTTCGGTTGTTTCAGAATATCACAGAGGCAGGATGGCTCGAAGGGCATAGACTTTTTTTTTTTTTTTAATGGTTCAAATACCTTAGTGTATTTTCTCTCCTTTTTTGTAGTAAAATGTTCATCGGAGAAGTAAAAATCTTCAGTCATGAGTCTTGGAATAGTGCCTAGCACAAAGTGATGACTGGAAAATATTGACCAAATGAGCGAACGAGTGAAGGAATGATACAGAATGGACTCACGGCTATGCCTTTGCTCCTTTGTGTTCCCAGACAATAGCCAGGCAGTTGGCGGAGATCTTGTTGCGGGGTATGTGTGAACAGAGCTACTGGAACCCTCTGGAGGATCCGCCCTGCCAGTCACCTCTGGATGACCCTCTCCGGAAAGGAGCAAACACAAAAACCTACACCCTCACTCGGAAAGCCCGCGTCTACTCAGGAGAGAAGTATGGCCCTTGATGTCCTCATTCGTAGGTTAGGGGGTGGGAGGAAAACTCAAGGATGAGTAAAGTTTGGGACAGATTCTTCCCCTAAAAGAGAGCCAGACAAACAAGTCTCATTTGCCAATTTAATGGAGATACTCCATTCCTTTTAGTAACCTCAGTAGATATCTGTGCACCAGTGGGTACATTTTAAGTAGGAAAATTCTCTCCTCTCAGTCCTTGGCTACTATTCTTGGCTATCACTATTGGTCTTTCGGATTCTCATTCTGTTTCTTCTAAGAACCCTAGCATTAGCCAGTAATCAGTGACAAAGCTGTTTGTAAGCCAGAGTTAGCCTTTTTTCTTTTCTTCAGCAATTCCTTGATCCTTTTGTTTATAAATTTGTTTTAAACCAAATTAGCTATAAGAAGAAAGAGAACTAAACAATTTGTAAGTGACTGGAAGGCGACGACTCTTTTGAACTTTTTAATTTTTTAAAATTTTAAATCTGGGATGGGGCACCTGGGTGGCTCAGTGGGTTAAGCCTCTGCCTTCGGCTCAGGTCATGATCCCAGGGTCCTGGGATCAAGCCCCGCATCGGGCTCTCTGCTCAGCGGGGAGCCTGCTACCCCCCTCCCCCCGCTCTCTCTGCCTACTTATGATCTCTGTCTGTCAAATAAATACATAAAATCTTTAAAAAAAAAATAAATAAATCTGGGACTTGGCCACCTTGGAGGAAGGTGGGTTAGGGAACCTCTGCAGCCTCCATGCGGCCTTCCCCAGGTTGGGAAGAGGGAGGTGGCAGGCATTGACCATGAGAGGGGCCAGGAGATAGGAGATCGTTGACTCACTCTTGATTCCTCCCCTTAGAGTCTCACCCTCCCATCTTTGCTGGTTCCTGCAAGGAGGAGGCATGATGGCTCTTCAGAATCTCTCCGTGAGGGGAAGGGGGCGTATATGAATAAGTATGGAAACCTTCCACAATGGTTATCAAATTGGAGAAATGGCAGAGAGACTGCAGGCGGCTGCTGTTGAGGCTCTAGAGCTGGGGCGGGGAGGGGGTTTTGACTAGATGCTTACTGCATGTGCGACTTCTGGAAATGATTGTCGCATTTTCAAAAGGGACAACGCTTCTCTGGCAGGCAGCCTCCTCTTAATCCCCTTACGTTGACCCTGGCATTTCTCTCCCTCATCCTCCTCTTGTTCAGACTGCATTCTTACACGGATTCAGAGAAGCGAGCATATTCTTTTTTTTTTTTTTTTTAAGATTTTATTTATTTATTTGACAGACAGAGATCACAAGCAGGCAGAGAGAGAGAGAGGAGGAAGCAGGCTCCCTGCAGAGCAGAGAGCCCGACTCGGGGCTCTATCCCAGGACCCTGGGATCATGACCTGAGCCGAAGGCAGAGGCTTAACCCACTGAGGCACCCAGGCGCCCCAAGCGAGCATATTCTTAACTTTTTCCCTAGGTTTATTTTAGTTTGCGTTTAATCCCCCTTTTAATTTAACCCCCCTTTTTGTGGCCTTGTTGAACCATGAGTTTGCTCAATTCATAGCCTGTGTTACTCCTTAGTCCTTATCTGAATTCACAGAACATCTGTTCTAGCAATTCCCAAACTCTCACTTTAAAAATGCTGAACCCTCAGTATGAAGTATTTAGAAGCAGTTTTGGGGCTCATCTTGAAAGTGAAATTTATATCCTAAAAATAGGCCTGAGTTCTTTGTTTGTTTGTTTTCTGCTTTCTATGCTGCTTAGTAGACGGATATATAAGGTGCCAGATATATTGAGAAACTCAGCTCCTGCTCCTTCCCCTGATCAAGCTGGAAACATGGGTAGAGCTCTGTGTTTCTTTGGGTGTTATTCCAATGTGGCCTCATCCCTTGAAGGCAGAAAAGCTCAGGATGCTGGCCATTTCTCCTTTATTTTTGTGAACCACTCATAATTTGTTACTCTCCTGATGTCAACATCCCCACCTGTCCAAGGAGAATTATGGAGGCAACATGAAGATCTAGAAAATGCAATGACTATTAAAGGGAGATTCCCATACCAGGACTGGTTGCTGAGTCACAGTTTCATTCCACACAGATACAGTCAGGTTTTTTTGTTTTTGTTTTTGGGTTTTTTTTTGTTTTGCTTAGTTTTGTTTCATTTTTGTTTGTTTGTTTTGTTTTGTTTTTACCATTTTATTGAGATACGACTCACATACTATACAGTTCACTCATTTAAAGTATACAGTTTAGGGGGCACCTGACTAACTTAGTCAGAAGAGCATGTGCCTCTTGATCTTGGGGACATGAGTTCAAGCCCCACATGAGATGTAGAGATCGCTTAAATAAATAAAAAAACCTTAAAAAAAAATACAGTTCAGTGGCTTTTAATATAGTCACATAATTGTGCTTCTGTCACCATAATCAACTTTGAAACATTTTTATTACCCTGAAAATAAACCTAGTGCCTCTAAGCTGTCACCCCACCATCCCCAATCCCTTGGCTTTTTCATATGAATTTTAGTATCAGTTTGTCCATTTCTGAAAAAAAAAAAAAGAAAGAAAGAAAAGAAAAAAAAGAAAAAGCAGCTAGGATTTTGATGGGAATTGCACTGAATCCATAGATCAATTTGGAGGAGTATCGCCATCTTAACAATACTGAGTCTTCTGATCCATGAATATGGGATGTCTTTCATTTATTTAGGTCTTTTTTAATTTCTTTCAACAGTGATTTGTTGTTTTCAGAGTATACGTTTTTTACTTATTTCTTGAAACTTACTGTGTGTGTGCATGCTATTCTTTTGGATACTGTCATAAGTGGAATTGTTTTCTTAATTTCATTTTTGGTTTGTTCATTTCAGGTATAGAGAAATACAGTTGATTTTCCGTATTGATGTTATATACTGCAATCTTGCTGAACTTGTTTATTTGTTCAAATAGTGTTTTAGATTCCTTAGGATTTCCACATACCAGAATATGTCATCTGCAAATAGAGGTAGTCTTATTTCTTCCTTTCTAACTTAGATGGATTTTATTTTATTTTCTTCTGTAATTGCTTTGGCCAGAACCTCCAGTACAATGTTAAATAGAAATGGCAAGGACTGGTGGACATTCTTGTCTTATACCTGATGTTAGGAGGGAAAAAGCATCCAGTTTTCCACCATTAAGTATGAAATTAGTTGTGGGTTTTCATAAATACCTTTCATCAGGATGAAAAAGTTCTTTCTATTACTAGTTTGTGGAGTACTCTTTATCTTGAAAGGGTATTTAATTTTGTCAAGTGCTTTTTTTGCATCTATTGAGAAAATCATGTACGTTTGTTATTCTGTTGATGTAACGTATTACATTAATAGATTTTCAGATGCTAAGCCAATCTTTGACAAATTTCATTGATCTTTTTCAAGAACCAACTTTGGTTTTGTTCATTTTTTGTTCATTTGTTCATTTTTTTCTATTGTGTCTCTATTCACTAAAATTTTATTAATTTCCACACTGATCCTTTTTCTTTCAGTTATCACCATCAGTTCTGAGCTTTCTAGTTTTGTTTGTTCACAATGATAATTCTGGTTTATTAGGTAAGAGAGAAAGAAAGCCTGTTGGGATTATACTTGTCTTGGGGCTCCCTGATCACCAGGACTCTCTAATTAGGCAAAAAGGATATTAATACCAATTCAGTTATGCTGCTTGACAGGTAAAAAAAGGAATCCACAGATAATGATTAAACCCCATCTTGGCCAATAGTTTCAAACGCTTCCCCTCCTTAGTCCCTTATGAGAAATATGAGCACAGAGCCTTCCAGCTCCAGCAGATCACAAGGACTATTCAGAATAGCTGGTCATAATGGAATACAGCAGAAAAGTGAGCTCTGTCAGAAAACTCCACTCCTTGTCACTGTGGCCTGGACCTGGAGTGGAAACAGGGTGCTCATTCTCTTGACAATCCTAGATAGGAAAGGGATCACATACCATGGACCTCTTTACTTTCTTCCTTCTAGGTCTTTCTGTGAGGAATTTTTTTGACCTTTGCTCATTTATTTATTAAAGATTTATTCATATATTTCGGGGGGAACAGAAAGAGAAGGAGAGAGACTCCCTGCCAAGCACAGAGCCCAACGCAGGGTTCAATCCCAGGACCCTGAGATCATGACTTGAGCGGAAACCAAGAGTCGGACACTTAACTGACTGTGCCATGCAGGCACCCCGCTTATTTATTTTTTAAGTAAGCTTTTTATTGACACATAACACATACTGGAAGAAATACACGAACCAAAAGTATAAAACTTGATAAATTTTTACCAAATGAACACATCCATGTAATTAGCACCCTGATCAAGAAACAGACATTGCCAGAACCCTTGAGGCCCTCTTTGTACCCTCTCCTGATTACTGCCCCTACCCAAGGGTAACCATCCTGAGTCCTAGCCCAATCATTAGTATAGGCCATTTTTGAAATTTATATGAATGGAATAATATATTAAAAACTCATCTGTTTAACTTCTGTCTGATACTATGTTTGAGAGACTCATCCGTGTTTCTGCATGCAGCCGGAGTTTGTTTCAGTTATTATGAAGTTTTCCGTATATACTCCAATATATTGATCCATTCTACTCGTGATGGATGCTAGAGTCGTTTCGCATATGGAGCTGCTTCCATCTCATTCAGGCCCAGGCCCAAATAGCTTGACCGTTACCTTCTCAGAAAGGTATTCCCCAGTCACCTTATCTAATTGTCCTTCTTTCCGAGCATTTTCTATCACATGAGCTCATTTATTTTTCATCATAGCATCTAAAATACAGATTTTTTTGGTTTATCCTTCTTCTAGAATGTGCTGCAGTGAACATTTTCACACATGTTCCTTAGTGCACATACATCAGAGATGTCTTCCTGCTGTTGTGTTCCTCCTTGTAAAAAACACTTGAGATGGCTTAGATCATTAAATGCATGTTAGACTTCATGATTAGCACAAAGTAAGAAAGGAGATTAAAAACTACTCTTGTGCCAGAAAGTGGGTGATGAAAACATTTACTGAAAGCTGGAGCCAGATGTGGTGCTCAGCTCCTCTGTAGGCCCCACAGGAGAGGGTGACTGTTGTGGAGTTCTAAATACAGGTCTGAACCTCCCTGAGCCAGGGCACAGGGTTTGGGGAAGGATGACGACACTGTTGAAAGTGTGAAGATGAGGGCATTGAAGGGTCAGGAAAAGCACCAGTGGCCTCCCCGTAGGCTTTGTGGGATTCACCCAGTCCACTCCAGAGCATGGCTGAGTGGACTTGATCCGAATGGAGGACCCTTCTTTATTGTCACGATGGGGTGTTGGCCTGTCTGGAATTGTGTGCCAGGGTGCTCCTCAGGTTGGACTAGCTGATCCCTCATAACCAACAGGTACTCTCAATGACTAATTTAAGTCCTTTTTCTTTCTTGGAACTTTTGTCCTTCCACACAGACCTGAGACTGAGGTACTTTCTGCCTCAGCACGTTTAACGGTGTAACTCAGGGACGAAGCAGAGCTGCAGCCACTGTGGGCTTTGACTCTTTTTAGCTCTTATCCACTGGCTGTGGTTCAGAGGCTGTATTTCTCTGGGAATTCTCTAGGGGTTTCACAACCGGGCCAGACATATTAAAACTAGAAAGGCAGGGGCGCCTGGGTGGTCCAATGAATGGAGCATCCAACTCTTGATTTCAGCTCAGGTCATGATCTCACCAGTCATGGGCTTGAGCCCAGAGTTGGACTCCCTGCTTGGTGGGAAGTCTGCTTTAGATTCTCTCCCACCTTTCCCTCTGCCCCTCCCCCCGCTCATTTTCTCTCTCTAAAAATAAGTAAATAAATCTTTAAAAAAAAACTAGAAAAGACACTATTGCTGGGCCTTGGAGTTAATGTTGTCATTTACACATAACTTCCTTGTGAGTTGGAGGTGTTCTCCTTGGAGAACAGTCAGAGCCCTCCTTGCACGTACTTGGAGTCTGCATTGACACCTCGATGGTGCCATTGACTTTCAGACATCCAGCTCGTCATTGGTTGTGTAATAGCTAAAGATGACAGAAAGATGAACTGCATTTGGATAAAATTGGATTAATTTCTTTTGTAGGATGGTTTCTACCACATACAGTGACATTTTTCACCCATCTGGGGAAATTTTTAGAAAGGGCTGTGATCTGGCAGCCTTGGCAAGGTCATGATCACTATCCATAAGTGAAGATTCTTGCCCTTGTTCCTTTTGTGTAGAGTCAGACAATAAGTAGATAAATTCATCCAAATAAGAAAATGAGCAACTTGCCTGAAGGTCAGCCCAGGAGTTAGTAAGGTGGCTGGGCCTGGGCCAGTTATCACCATCAGTTCTGAGCTTTGTCAGAAGCACTGTGCTCCCACCAGCAGCTTGTCCTCACTGTCTGTGAGCCCTGTGTGCTCCCTGTCCCTTCTTATCCTGCACCCTGCCCTTCAGTCAATGTCCTGTTGGTCTAGGCCCCCAGTTTTTCCACTCCACAAGGCTGAGGCCTGGGCACCCAGGGCTCTCCCCTGATGTTCTTGGGCCCACAGAGGAGATTGTCACAAAAGAGCCCAGTGTTTTCAACCATCTACCGTGAGCTCTATACTCTTTCAACAGAGAACAGGGGAGGAATGGCCAGAGAGGGGGTCCAGAGAATCCACACATAGTGGAAGGGGCGTTCTGGTGTATAGTTTTTCAGCATGTCTCTTAAAACTGCCGTTCCTCTTCCTCTCACTGCCCATTTCTTCCTGCCAGCTCTGAGAGTTTGCCGCACTCCTGAGTCCTATCTCGCCTGCCTCAAAAGGAAGGGTAGAGGAAGTGGAATTAGAATCAGTTAATGTGCTACTTGTTAGCAGCTCTGGTAAAAATAACACAACTTAGCATTTAAGCAGGCTGGATGGCTCAGATGGAATTTGGGGATTATCCATGGACTGAATTGGCTGGTGTTAAGTCACAATTAGCATGGGCTCTCTTCTTTTCAATTAGTCTAGACCATGTAGAACTGGCTAGCTGCCGTGGAAAAAATGGTTAATGTTACTGCTCGATTGGTAAGGTCCCAATGGTATGGAAGCACAGCCAGGATGGCAGGAAACGATTGCTGGGTGGACACACACACACACACACACACACACACACACACACACGAGCACTCTTCATTCAAAGCCTGTAGGCTCTATTTCTGAATTTGAGGGGAAAGAAGAGTTCTGTCATCGAAAACCCCAGCTCCCCTCAAGCTACCTGTTTAAAGAAGTTCTCTGCAAATCCCAGAATCCTGCTCTTCACTTACAGGCCAGACTTTTCACCAAATTTTAGCCCTGCGAGGGCAATGGGAACCACTCCATAGGTGGTCTCCTTACCCCTATGGACGTCAGAGGTACAGAAAGAGAACCAGGCCCTGTGCTTTTTCTGTCTTGCTCTTCCTGGTCCTTTGATGCCATACAAAAGTTGCCAGCACTTCAAAGAGAACAAGTATTTATAATGATGATATGGAAGACTTTTTTTTTTTTTTTTTTTTTTGGCCATTTTGAGGGGTGGGGAGGATCATTCCATCTCTTAAACTAAATGACTGTGATGTTAGCACTGGGAAGATGTAAATTTAGTCTTTATTTGATCATCTCTAAAACATCCAGGAATTTTTTTTAAACCAAGTTCATTTTTATTGCTCTCTTCTTTCATTCCGTGAAAAAGAATCGAGTTTGGCTCAATTGGTGATAACACTCTCAATCCTACTCAAAGGATTCTAGAGCTTTTAGAACAGAGGGAAAAAATGCTGCAAGTCTCTAAAAATCCTCAAAGCACCAAAAAAGTAGACTCTAAAGGATGGAGGTTGGGGTCAGGCTTGGGGCTCTTTGTTGTTATTGTTGTTCTCTAATCTTGAGCAATATTGAGTTTAAAAAGCTTTTTCTTTTAATCCCAGATGTCAGAGCTCGGCCAACGTCCATAAAATAGATTAATAAGACAACTAGCACTTGCATGCCACCCCATAATAGACCATGTGTGTTTAATTAAGGTGACTTGCCCAAGTTCTTACAGTATTCTAGAAATGATTCAAAGTCTAAAATTGCTTCCAATCTCTTATTTCATCTGAAGGACAGTATAAGATACGGCAGTTAGCCGTGAGAGGTAAGAAGCGGACTGCTTAGTGAGGTGTCTACAGTCTATATCCCCAAAATGGGTTTAGGAGAAAGTTTTATCACTGAGATGATGTCAGTTTGTAGCAATCTCAATTTCTGCTCTATAACAGGCATATATGTTCTTTGGGCTTTTACTGTGGTTTTTATAGCTTGACTTCACTCTGCTGCCTGCTATTAAAATGCATAGTTAAAATGTATAAATTCCATAGATTACCATAGAAATAAGCAAATTAATTCAAGTGTTAGATGATACAGTATATTTTGTGGTTCTACATAAAAATCTAGCTTTTAATATTCAGTGCTATTCATCGTCGTGTATTTCATATGATCTTGAAATTGCCATATATAAAATTCAATTTTCTTTACACAGCATTTTTTGTCCTCAAGAAAATACTGAAGAAGCCCTGTTGTTACTGCTGATTAGTGAATCGATGGTAAGTAGAATGTGCTTTCAAATTCTTCTGCACCCCCTTTTCCTACAGTCCTGTGTTTTTTTTTTAAAGATTTTATTTATTTATTTATTTGACAGAGCGAGATCACAAGTAGACAGAGAGGCAGACAAAGAGAGAGAGAGAGGGTAGCAGGCTCCCTGCTGAGCAGAGAGCCCGATGTGGGACTTGATCCCAGCACCCTGAGATCATGACCTGAGCCGAAGGCAGTGGCTTAATCCACTGAGCCACCCAGGCACCCTACAGTCCTGTTTTTGATATGGTCACTCCATCAGTACAGTGGCTATTTTACTTGGGAAAAGAATACTTTCTAGAGGGGATACCTGGGTTGGGGGAGGGAAGGAACAACAGGGATTTAAGAAGAGGGATGTTTCTTTTTTTTTTTTTTTTTTAAGATTTTTATTTATTTGTTTGACAGAGATCACAAATAGGCAGAGAGGCAGGCAGAGAGAGAGAGAGAGAGGAGGAAGCAGGCTCTGAGCCCGAGGTGGGGCTCAATCCCAGGACCCTGGGATCATGACCTGAGCCAAAGGCAGAGGCTTTAACCCACTGAGCCACCCAGGCGCCCCAAAGAAGAGAGATGTTTCTTAATTCTTGGGCTAGTTAGAGGTGTCCCTTATAGGTTAATCTCAGCCTGGAGCATGGAGCTTCTCTTAGGCAAGCCGTTATAGGCATCTGAGTTCATTCATTTGCCTACTGATTACTGATAGGACACAAACACGATTGCGGATAGGTAAACTATAGCTGAAAGGAAGACCAGAGGAATGCTGAGAAGGGAAGGAAGTCCCCCCAGGGTAACCTTTCCAAGCCACCTCAACTTGCCAGGGGTGGGGGGAGGGAGAGTTTAGGGATAAATCAGTGGGTGGTGGCCGCAAACCTCTGGTTTTGGTAGCAGGAGCTGGATAAGCAGCTTCAACCTCCTGGGTAGGCCTCCCGCTTGCCCCCAGGCAGTCCGGAATCCCCCGCTGTGAGAGGGAGCTCCCGTTCCCTGGCTCTGCTGTCTTGAGGGAGTCTTTGCAAGGCCATCGGATTCCCTTGAAATGTTTTGTTAATGTCTGGCCAGGCTATCAAAGTTTATGTCTAGAATTTCATTCCTCACCATTTATTGGGTTTCTGCTCTGCGTGGTGCTAGGCATGACTGCCCAGGCTTGAAGCTGTGGGAGGCAATCTGTGTCACAGTCGTCGGTCCCTTGGCATGTAAGTGGTGTTTGCTGAGCACCTGGACAGGACGGCGAGGCTCCTGGAACTGGGAAGGACCTAGATGTCCTCATACCCATTCCCTCATACAATGAGTAGGGAACCTGAGGACCAGAGCAGGCAAAACGGATGCATCCTGCAGTGGTCTGTTGCTCTTTCTAGATCACACTGCCTCCTCCCATGTCTCCCACCTCACCAGGCAGGCAGGAGGAGAAGGAGGAGGAACAGGAATCGTGACCGAAGCAAGAGGAGGTATTTGCCTTCTCCCCCAAGCAGGTGGTTTCAGTGGAGGCATGAAACACACCCAGCTGAAGTGGATTTAGAAATGGAGCCCAAGAAGAATGCCCGATGGGCTGAGTGAAGGAGGGATCTGGAGAGGCTGGGATTAGTCAGGGAGGCTTGCATTCTTGCCTTAATTTCAAGCCCTGCGTTTTCTTGTTCTGCAAAATGGCCCAGAGATGTTTACAAGAGCAAGACTGCTTGAGTTACCACTGCTTTTTTATTTGGAACCTCTTTGACGTCATTGGCCTTACTTCCTCTGAAGGAAACAGGTTGCCCCCCTTGACTCATCTTTCCTTGACTGTCAGCTGGTAACTCAGAACGGTGTCATTTACATTCTCTACTTTGCCTTGGCACGGCCGGGGAAGGCATATATGTGAACAGGCTGGCACCTGGTGGCATTTGGTAACTGTTTTTCAAATGAGCCGGTCTCACCATGCTTTGCCATCAGTTCTTTGGTGGGGGCGACCCCCTCAACATGTTGGCCCCCTAGCTCATGTTCCCTCATTCTGAGGGGGACTCCTCACAGCTTGGCAGTGAGTTTCCTTCGGGCACACCTGGTTGGTTATGTTGGGAAAGTTATGAAGGAGTAGCGACCACACATTTTTTATTTCTTGGACAATTCTAATCGAAAATATTGTGTTCCATTGTCAGATCATGTGTTCCCATTTAGAATTTGGAAAACAGAGCCACATCTCTAAAATGCTTGCTCCAAGTGTAGATGTCTTGGGAATGATGTCTCCACCTTTCCTGCTCCTTAATTGAAATGATAGAAACTAATAATACTCAAAATTGAGATCCCTTTGAGACCATCAGATGTGGCTCTGTGGTATTTAATTTCTGGAAACTCTCTTCAGAGGATGGTGAAACCCAATGACATCATCAGTAAATATGAAGGTCTGGGTTTCCAACCAAAATGATTATGTTCTCCCTGTAAATTGTTCCATAATTATGTAGGTAGAAGTCTAAACTAAGTTCCTTTTGGAAGCCTCTTTCATGTTTCTTGACTTCTTGATTTTTCAGTTTTTAGACAGAAAATGGACGTGCTCAATTTCAGAACCAAATGAGAATTACTGTGTTTTTTTTGTTGTCTGAGAAAATTGTTTTCTTCGTTGGTTCTGACTTTAAATTAGAAACATCTGTCTGTCCATAATCTCTCCACCTGTAAGATATGGTTTGGCGTTGTACTGCTTTCTCACCTCAAATCAAATGCATTTTCCCCAGGAGAAAGGGCTTATCAGAACTACATTTGCACAACTACCTCTGAGACAGTGTTCTGAGATATTTCTTATTTGTGGATCTGTTTGAGGTTCGAATCAAAAGACACCAATCTTAAAAAAATGTACTTGGCATAACTCAAAAATCTCTCTTAAGTAGTATTTTGTTTTGTTTTGTTCTCTTCCAGGCCTTGGTCCTAATACGGAACATTTTTAGCAAGTAAATAAAATGAGGCTCCTTACAGCAGCCCCTGTTTCCCTTAGAGCTTCCTTTGTTGGCTCAAAGTCGCTCCTCACAAGAAAGCCTTAGAATGAAATCTTCAAAAGCAGGCTTGTATCTGTAAGAGATGACTCACTTGGTAGGAAGTGGCCTGTCATATATTCTTATTTGTCTTTGACATTTTAGAGCAAGGAGTTTTAAAGTGACTAAGTACGGATAGATGGCTAAAAGTGAGTGGCTTGGACTCACACACACAGAGAAGGCATTTCGTCTCATTAGTGAGGGAGAAGGTGTGTAGGTGTGTCAGCCGTCACCCTGCCTGGACCAGGGACCCTGGTGCCTCACCTACCACTTGCACAGGAAAAACTGAGGGGCCCTTTCTCTCCTCCTAGGGATGGATGATTCTGGAAGCTTCTGGTAGTGAGCAGGGGGAGGAAAGACAGGCAAACTCTAACTTAATTGATTCTGAACTCCCTAGTAGGGAAGGATGGAAAATGGTTAGAGTTGTTTAGTGGCCCTAATACATGTGATATGTCTGGAGACTCCCTAGAGAAATTAAATTTCAAAAAGCAATGAAAGCACGTTGTTGTAAAGAGCATTTGATTTCTAGATAGATGAGATTAATAAGCTCGAATGTGCCTGCTGTATTTCTGCAGCAAGCTGTGGAGATATGCAAGAGGCAAGGTGTTCTCCTGAGTCCTCTGGTAATATCTTTTAAAACAAAACTCAGTCTGCTTCTTGCTTTCTCTTCTACAGCTGTTCTGTGCTTCCCTAAACAGGATTGCATTAGTCTTTGTAGTCTGTTCCAATGAAGGTGCCATAGAGGGATCTGAATGTTGCTTTCATGACAGAGAAAAAGTACGACACGTCCCTGCAGGACTGAGGGAACTTAATGGCACCGTGTGATGGTGGGAGTATGGGGCTAGGGATGTTCCCTCTGCTGTGTAACGCAGAGCAGGAGCTGCACGGACAGGCAAGACACGACAGCGCCCCTGCCCCGGTGTGTGAGTCTGCCACCCCAGAGCACTGGCGGTGCCTGCAGCAGAGCTGGCTGGTGGGCCCGAGCCCAGGAGCCATCACCATGCTTGCATCAGCTCCTAAAGCCCCCTGCAACCGCCAGCTAACGGGTCCCGAGGGTCCTCTGGCTCCACACCTCCAGGCCTTTGTGTTTGGCTAATACCTCGTACTGCGTGCTGCCGGGCTCGGGGCATTCTGAGTAAACAAGCCAAGGTGACAAGCCCCTTACTTGCTCCTGCCCTTGTCTCCAGGCCCTTGGCAAGCCGAGAGGGGCAGGAGGGCCTAGATGGCTTCTCTGTGCATGATAGCTGTGTGCATGGACTAACTCACCAGCTGCTCCTCTCGTCTTCTGTGTTGTTTTCAGGCCAACCGGGATGCTGTGCTGAGCAGAACACCCGAGCACAAGAGTGACCGCCTCATCAGCTTGCAGAGTGCCTCGGTGGTCTATGTTTGTTGAGATACAATTTCCATACCACACAGTTCACAGTTCACCCTTTTAAAGTCTGTGGTTTTTAGTGTACTAACCACATTGTTCAGTCATCACTAATATTTAATTTCAGAACATTCTCATCCCCAAAAAGAAACCCCATACCTCTTAGTAGTCACTCCCCATTCTCCCCTTTACCCTCAGCCTCTGGCAACTGCTCATCTATGTTTTGCTTTTATGGATTTGCCTATTTTGGACATTTCATATACATGGAATTATATACTAGGTGGTCTTGTTGTGACCGACCTGCTTTACCTAGCGTGGTATTTTCAAGGTTCACCCGCATTGGAGCATGGATCGGCATGTCACTCCTTTTTTGTGACCAGATACTATCCCACTGCAGGGACAGGACACATTTTTTGCATTTGTTCCTCAGTTGATGGACACGTGGATTGTTCCCACTTGTTGGCTATTGTAAATAATGCTGCTATGGACATTCTTACGTAAGTTTTTAAGTGGACACATGAACAAGTTTTAGGTGGATAGGCTGTACGTTCAACATTTGGAGGAAGTGCCAGACAATTCTCCAAAGCAGCTGTACCAGTGTGTATCCCCACCAGCAGTTAGGAGGGCTCCGGTTTCTCCATATTCTTTTTTTTTTTTAAAGATTATTTATTTATTTATTTGACAGAGATCACAAGTAGGCAGATAGGCAGGCAGAGAGAGAGAGGGAAGCAGGCTCCCTGCTGAGCAGAGATCTCAATGTGGGGCTCGATCCCAGGATCCTGGGACCATGAGCTGAGCTGAAGGCAGACGCTTTAACCCACTGAGCCACCCAGGCGCTCCTGATTTCTCCGTATTCTTGACAACACTTGTTATTGTCTGTCTTTTCGGTCTTGCCCTCCTAGTATATATGAAGTGCTGTCTCATTGTGGTTTTAATTAGATTTCCCTAATGACTACTGACATTGAGCATCTTTTTATGTACTGATTGGTCGTACTACCTCTTGAAACAAAAGAACTGCATCCCTCACGGCAGGGAGAGTATAAGCCCTTCCAGTTGCCAGGGTGGTGAAGGGGTTGACTGTACGCTAGTGATTTCACACCAAAACCCAGCCAGAGCAGAGCAGATTGGATCCTGGGGAGTACCTAGTTGTTTGACTAAGTATAGTGATGCTAAAACTTAGAGGAGAAACAAAAGCTAGCTAGAGAACGTGGCTCATCAGCAGTTTGGCTGTGTTGTTGGCATAAGTTCTCTCTTGCCTTTTGAAACCCTTGAACTTTCCTGGCTGGAGAAGTGATCGCTGATCCCTCTATGGCTGTTCTGCCAAGGGCTGTCTGGGTGAAGGCCTGGTGCTCACTAGAGATGAAGCAAATACCACATGTCACAACTGACACAACAGCCCCACGGAAGAGTCCACCTTCTTGGGTCTTGTCCCCAGCGCCATCGTCCTCCCATTGTTATGACCCCTTTCAATGTTGCCAGAGAGTTTAAAGCTGGGCCAGGCTCAGTGACTCTTGTTGTGGGAAGTGAGGCTGTATCTTCATTTTGGTGTCTTCAGGGTTTGGGGATGCAGATATCCGACTCGCAGGGCCAGATGACGAATCAATAGGCTTTCCTGGAACTCATGGGGGCGAGACAAAGGAGCAACTTTACACTCCCCCACCCTTCCCCTGAGACCTCACTTGGTCTTCGGTATTTATTTATATACTGATATGATTTGGGTGTGCCCTAAGAAGTTCAAACCAGACATTTTGATTTGTGGAGTTCTTTAAGGCAAAAAACCTCTGAAAAAATATGGGTAAGAATTGTTGCCAAGTGTCTTTTCTCTCAAATTGACCTACTCCCCAATATTTCATGATACTTCTTGTCTGGTCAGCATGAACAGCTCCTTTTAAGACTTTGAAGCACAATTAAAGTAATCGATGATATTGGCTAGTGTTCTTATCATTGTTTTAAAAGCTAATTAAAAAGCCAATCTTTCAAAATTGCTTAAATGTGGAGCATTTGTCCATATTGTTGATTCAAAAGCATATATATTTTATTAAAGTGATTAATGGTTTTTGCCCTGTTAGAAGGTGTGAGTGCATTGATTACTCTGTGGGCCATCTGCCTGCTGCTTACGTCAACACTACTCTTCACAGAATTAGAGAATATCTTCCATTATTGCCTAAGGTTTCTGTTATTTGGATCAATGTACTTTAACTTCTAAAAATCCTGTGAGGGGAGATTCTGAATAAAGACATGTCAGGAAGTGAGATAAGTTTCTTCAATTATTATTTTCTTTTTTCTGAGACATGCTGTGAGGAGGCTTCTGAAGAAGGCTGGGTAGACTGGAGTTCCCCCTGCACATTTTCAGCTGTTAACTGGTTGGTGTTGACATGAGGGGAGTCACTTCCTCTCTCTGTTGGACTTGCGGTGCAAGTAAGTAGGCCTTTGGTCTTGGTTGATGAGTCTCAGGTGACCTAGGTTGAACTGCTTACAATTCCTTGTGTGCTCAGCAAAAGGTGTGCATCAGAATTATCTGAGGAACTTTGAACAAATGCACATCCCTTTTGCTGACCTCAGAAATGCCAGCTGAGTAGGTTTGGGGCAGAACCCAAGAATCTTCTCTTCTCGTTTCCATGGGGAATTGTTTGCCTTCCCTAGCTGGGAAGTACTTCATGGGCCTTATTCACTGGTATCTTGGTCTACAGTAGCCATCAGAAAGCTTGTCAAGTTAATGCTGCTCACAACTCTATGATTCCTTCGAGATTAGTTGATCGTTGCAAATTTATGATGCTCTTATGAAGTGAAAAATTTACCTTGTAAACTCTGTCAGGGTGTGAGACCATAGCTGAGAAGGATTTATTTACAAGTCCATTTATAGCAACCCCACTCTTAGACAAATACTTCAACGAACTGAAATGTTAGAAACAAACATTGTACATGAATGTCTGTAGCGTCACTGTTTATGCTAGCCAGAAGATGGAAACATTCCGAATTTCTATCAGTTGATGACGAGATAAACAAAATGTGGTACGTCCACACAATAGAGTATTATTCAGCCACAAAAAGGAATGACGCACTGACCCAGGCTACTACATGGGTCAACCTTGACCTCGTGATGCTAAGTGAAAAAGCCAGTCACAAAAAGGCCCCGTATTATAGGATTCCGTTGATAGGAAATGTCCCCAATGGGCAAATCTGCAGAAACAGAAAGCAGGTTAGTTGTTCCCGGGGTCTGGAAGGAGGGAGTGGAAAATGACCACTGAAGAGTACAGGGCTTCCTCTTGGGGTGATGTTCTGGAACCAGGGAGAGGTGATAGTTGCCTAGTACTGAGAATGTACTAAGTGCCATTGGGTTATACATTAAAATGGTTAAAATGGTGAATTTTCGGTTAGGTGAATTTTACCACAATTAAGAAAATACATACAAAACGGATTTAATGACCAAGTTTATACATTAAAGTTTGACTTCTTTCTGGCTCCCTTCCTTCCCTTCCTTTCCTTCTGATTTTATCTGTTGCCAACAATTTGTAAGCATTTCAATGGCAAGCATATAAAACCCGAGTATAAGAAGTAAAAGGTCCGATCACTATTGGTGATCGTGCTGGTCATTTCTCATATTTATCTCCTGTTCTGAACTTCATGTGAGCTGTCCGTGCACACAACCAGACAGCCTTGCTAGTCGGTTAGTGCAGTGGTAGAGTGACACATTTAAAGTATGCAATCACATCAAAACCTCATTTTAAAAGTCTCTCTGGAAGGTTAATACCTGGAAGTAAAGTGAGATCTAGCACGAGCTGTTGCATAGTGGACAAGCAGACTGTGGAGGGCAGAGATTTTTGTAACTTTAGAATCCCTCCATGGCAGGTATATTCAGAAAATGAAGCTCCTTGTTCATTTTTTTCCCTTTGACTTTTTTTTTTCTCGGCTATAGTGAGTCGAGGTTATTTTTGCCCGTTGATGCTTCCAGCAGAAGTCATTAGCTTATATGACTGCAGGGAGATCGAAATGAAACTATAATGGAAGGTTTAAGAAAACAGTGCAGGAACTGTTTAGGTTCTGAAAATTGTATTCTTATGAGATCTTTACAGATGGCTCAGTTGGGGATGATAGGAGTGCACTTAATTTCACATTTTTATAGACACTAAAGCCAGTGGGTCTTACTTGGGAATAATCAGGAAAATTTGCCTTTACCCAGTGGTTATCAGAAGCCACTAATCTAGTGATTTGGTTGCATTTAAGTTTCCTGGTGGTGTTTTAGGCAATTCACGTGGATGAAAACCTAGCAAAGTTCTCTTCTGGAACATATTTATTTAAAAAGTCTCACTCTCAGGAAAGATCAGCATTCTTTGCCTGCATGTTTCCAAAGAACATGAAAACCTTGTAGAAAAACCTGATAGTTGAAGTTTTATTTTGCCACCTTTGGCTGATCGTGGGGTAGCACGGGCCACATTGAGGTGCACCTGCTTCTGTTCTGAGGGAGATTTTGTGGAGGTTTTGTTTATCTGTTTGTTTTTATTTCTCTTCTTTATCACTGGAAGATTATGAGGTAAGTGAACTGATACGCATTAGCTAACAAAATATTTCTTAGTAGATGTCACATACCCCCTCCTCCCATTCATCAGACGGGGCACTGTTCTACTGCAGAGAGCTCGAAAAGCATAGTAGTCGTTGTCTAACTTAGGATGACAAGATCCAGATATGTCTGGGTTTTCTCAGAGAGGAAAGAGATACCTGTGCAGCATTGCAAAGAGGTCTTTCTTGATCAGTAGCCATACTTGCCACTTTGCTTTCTCTTTTGCACAGGCCAGCAGTAGCCTTTGGGCTGGAAGGCCCAGGGTGCACTGACAACAGTGCACTGAGTCCCAGGACGGGGCCACCATGGGACTGGCCCTTGGCACTTCAAAGAGGGAAGGCATTTCCGAAATCTACACTGGATACCATCTTATCAGCAATGAAGAGCTTTCCCCACCCCCCCCCTTCAGGAGTAACGTCATCTAGGTTGAGCACCGGCTTTGTGCCAAGTT